AACTGGGCTCCCAACACTTTAAGAGGGGTCTTAATAAGAAACAAACATCAAGAAAGTGGAAAAGAATCTGCTAAGATCCAAAATGGCATTATCTAGGTGCACTCTACTTCCTCTCAACTGATGACTAATAAATATTCAAAAAAATATGAGAAAAAAACAAGATAGAAAACAAAACAAAGAGGGAGGGGGGGGGGGTGATGCCAGTGACCTTTGACCCAAGCTCCTGGATGACATTTGGTTTGAATTTGGGTCATCCAAATTTCTGGATCATCGGCTTCTGAAATCTGGACAGAAATATAGAAGAGAATTTCTTTCTTTTTCATCTCTCTGCCCAAACCCTTGTGGTATAGAAGAATTCTGACCTCTAAGCAGATCATGTGGTCTGATTTAAAAATCTAAACCTATGCTCAAAAGAAAATCTTTGAAGAAAAAAAGGATTATCTATGACAGGAAAGAATATCAGTTTTAGCCTTTACAGAAAGTATGTTGTATATAGTCAGTAGGCCTACCGGTATATGGTATTTCCGTGTGTGATGATGCACAGTATGTAAGCCTACGTACGTGTACTCAAATAGGTATAAAGTAAACTGCACATCAGCGTTACAAAATCTATCTCTAAAAAAAAAATATGTAAATTTTGCAAATGCATAGTTAGTACAAGCAAGCCTTGAAATAAAATGCAAGGAACTAGGTTGTAATAAAAGGTGCATATTTTTTTAGGAGAATCTATCAAATTGATCCTTATAAATCCCTCCTCTCAAATTCTCCTTAAGAGCCCATTTACTGGGAAGATAAGGGAAATTCCCTATCATCCTCTTTAGCTTCTTCAACATACCCCCTGTCCACACACAACATTTTCCGTGATTAGCTATACCGTTTCGCGATAGTTTTACAATAAAATTGTGTGTGTGGACGCTCACTAACGATACGTCGTATAACGAAACTAGTCTAACGAAACGCAGGTTTGGGCATCGTTTCGAACTGAAACTCAATAAAGAATCACGCCTAATCACGAAAATGTTGTGTGTGGACAGGGGGAGTGTAACTAGTGTAACTAACTGGGCGGGGCTTAACGTGACCTCGAGCGAAAGGAGACCAGACTGTAGAGTTTCGGGATTACTTTCTTCTGTTTATGGACATCCTTGAATTTATACGATGATTATTTATATGACGTTTCTTGTGTGTGGACACTTTGAAATTTATACTATGATTCTTTATACGACGTTTCGTTATAGAGTTTCGGGATAAATTGTTTTGTGTGTGGACATGCTGATAGCAGGATGTTCCTTTGACCTCATCCGCGTTCAGACTACCCAATACATTATATAGCTACATGTGTAAGAAAAGTGATTACCCTTTAAGTCTGAACGTCTCATAAAGAAACATCATGAATAATAGCGAAATGCAATGCATGTCAGAGCATCGTTTCAAATGAAATCTTGATAAAGATTCATGGTCCCCTTCTACTCTGAACGTTGTATCGTATGAAAATCGTATGAATATCGTATAACTGGGTGGAGCTTATCGTGAGTATACATCAATGATTGACAAGCTACCATGTCAATTGACGTCCTCAAAACTAATTTCTTTATATGATGGTATTATCTAGTCTAAATGCCCCTTTCGTGATACATTGATTCTTTTTACGTTTATTTATACGTTTTTTCATAAAACTTCCTGTAGTCCGAACAGGCCATTTTTCATGGATGGAGAGTGATAATGGAAATGAGGTACTTGAGATCACTGTACGATGATGCTACTTTTGCAAGCAGCTTAGGACTATACTGCCCACCACCCATCTCACTGTAACTCTAGGCCTGTCCTCATCAGCTTAAATTTGCCAAATACACCGCTATTTGCAGACTCTGAATATTATCCTGAAGCTCGATATTGCTTCTTCACCAGACCGATACGCTCATCACAAACTAACTCGGACGGGCGCAAATTAACCGCTTTTTCCCAAATAACGGGATATTTTTTATGGAACAGAGACCCAACATTTCTCAGGATATTTTCTCGACCAAATAATTCGCTAATTGTAACTACGGGCTGATGAGGACGCGATCGGGATAGTTAAAATAGTGGGTTATTTGGCAAACTCGAGCTGATGAGTACAGGCCTAATGTAGCTCAGTCTTCATATCACTATAGTTTAAGGGAATCTCTACATTATCTCTGGGATTTGTACATTCACATGTTGAGAACATAAGAAAACAAAGAAGTGTATATTAATAACATTAATTTGTGATTGCAACAAGATTCCTTATAAAATCACTTAATCAAAAAACAAAATTCAGATCAAAATATTAGTTTTATTAGCTTGATTGAAAAGATTGACAGATAAATTGAAGAAATTAGGTAATCGGATCTTCGATCATCTTTTCAATCATCTTTGAGATGGTCTAGAATTTATGAATAGAAGTTAAACCAAGTTATTGATAAGATTTTTGAGCAATTTCAATCAATGACAGCTCACCAACAAATATTTTTGACCAAATTATATTAAAAGACACATGAGACATTCTACATGTAATTCATAACACTGTCCTGCAATAACTCTTTTTAAAAATTTTTATGGAAAACTATGACATTAAGTTGCGCGGGAATATCTTGTGAAGTTGTGTCTGTTGATAGAGACTAGATATAGCTCATATATCAACTGGATTGTTTGTTTCAGCAGCTAGATTTGTTTTACAAACTTTTATTGCCCATTTCCAGAGTCCGGTTGGTTCAGTCAAATGGGGATGGATGACCTGGCAAATAAATTGTCGCTGCCAACGTGAAATATTATATCTCAACAGGATGCAGTAACATATTTCTTTTGCTAAGAGCAAGCTGTTGTTCTCCGGATAGCATCACTTCTTTCTATTTCTCTCTTCCTCTCTCTTGATCAGTGCTCATCTATTATTCCTTTTGTGTCCATCTATAGCTCTTTTCCTTACCTTTGCTTGTTTTTTCCATTAAATCTTACTTACCCAATTTTGTTCCCTAATTTTCTTTCTCTTCTTCTCTTCTCTTCTCTTCTCTCCCTCCCTCTCTCTCTCTCCTCCTTCTCTCTCCTTTGTTCTCCAGATAGCATCACTTCTTTCTATCTATCTCTCTCTCTCTCTCACTCAATGCTCATCTATTATCCCTTTTGTGTCGATCTATAGCTCTTGATTTTTCTGTTCGCGTGTTACCTTGCCTTTTCTTGTTTTCTCCCATTAAATCTTACTTTCCCAACTTTGTTCCCTAATTTTCGTTCTCTTCATCTCGATTATCACTTCCCTCTTCTCTCCCTCTCTGTCTCTCCCCCCTCTCTCTCTCCCCCTCTCTCTTTCTCTCTCTCCCTCTCCCTAATGTTCATTTTTTTCCATTTTCTGTCTAGTGCTTTTAATGTTCTGTCCTTTCTTTCCCTAGAGCTACTTTTTATTAAATGATGTATCTCACTTCCCTAACTCCTCCTATCCATCAATATCTTTCTCTTCATATTTAATATTTGCATGTTTTAAACACCCCCCCCCCCCCTCTCTCTCTCTCTTAGGATAAATTACGCTCACAATTAATATTAACAGATTAAATTGCCAAAAGGACAACATGGCCTCAAGTTTGGCCCTCTCATTAAAGAGTTTCAAATGGCAACACTAGCTAGACTCTATCCTCTTTCTGCTATTGAAGACATTTGAAATAATTCTGGCATCAGAAACACCTTGCAAATAGCCAACGTTTCTTCTGACAAGTCATAGGCTATAGCGTATATGTAGAAGTCTAGGTCCAAATGTCAATTCTTCATTAATTAGGTACCCTTAATTTGTTTTCCTTCTTCTTGATTCTTTATGTGGTCTAATATGCTGGCATCAATCCGCAACTTAACCCGGTTAAAGGCTTCAAGATGGAAACTTGTGGTGCATTTTTCACAGAAGCCGGGACTCCCAAATTCGGCAACACCAGTCATTAAAAGCGCATTAACCTTTGAAGTTGACCCCCGTGGCACTTGCAAGAATTTGACAGTTTCCCAGTACAGAGGGAAGTCACAACACTACAGAGTAGTGTAATGTAGACAAGTGCCCATTGATTCTGTTCAAACTGTGTTTCAACATATGTAAGGACTTGTAAGAAGCAGGACAAAGGCGACTGCTAGTCTGGTCGAAGAACTTTTCCAATCAAACTTATTAACTTTTTTATTATTACTATTTTTTGAATAATTTATACTTCATTGATCTCAAATGAAAGCAAGACGTACAATATTGAAACTTTAAAGGCACACTGAATACAGCTAGTAGCCTTTTATGGTTAGCTGAATCAATATTCCTTTTAATCATAATGAATAAATTCTTAAAATCTGCATGTTCTGATCAAGATGGACAAGTCTCATAAATGCATTATACCTTGTTTCTATCAAAACTATGTTCAATAAAAAATAAATCCTTGAAATCTGTGTTTTCTGATCAGGATGGACAAATCCATTAAATGCATAATACCGTTTCTATTATATGCAAAACTGGTTGTATCATACTCAACCCACACCCAAAAGCTCCATATATAAAGAAAGGTATAATTACCATGGGAACAACTGCTACAGCAGATACAAAGTGCTCTGGCAGCTCATAATGATATGAAAGTCACCACCATTTCAGATGCAGTTCAAATCAGAAGTATTTGATAGGGAATAATTAAGAGTTAATTTACCTGTCAAATGACAGAAAAGGGTGAAATCTGTCTAATATCTAATGAATGAGCTGGTGCAATTGATCTCTCTTCATAAAGATACTACCTTGCGATCATATGCATAATAGTTTTTCATATTTATTCATTACATTCTCATTCACTGTTGTGATATCTTTTTGTGTCAGCGGTACCAGACACGATTAGCATTAAATGCTATTTTCTGGTCCCATTTATCCTTTCAATGTTAAACATTCACATTTGATTGTTATATTGATGTACTTTTTGTTTGGATAATAAAACTTCAAACCCAAACTCAAACTCATACATCGTTGTCATATCTGGATTGAGTCTTACCTGTGAAATGGCTGAAGGGCTGTCCGACACCACAAAGATGACTGCTGTGGCGCCACGATGTATTGCTCTTTTGGCCTGTAATAAACAAGAAGAAAGGGTAGTAAATTAGAAAGGAGAGTAGAAATATTGCAAAGAGCAATAAAGAACACGGTTCCCTACGTACTTAACATTTACAGCTAACACAACACAAAGATAACAACCAAAAACATTAATAGAATATGTACAGACAACTTTAGAATACTGGTAAGAAGTAGCAAATTAGTACAGTTGCCTAAATCCCTTGGCCACCATGTTTCTGGACATAATAGTTGTAGCATTTTTTTGGTTGAAGAATTTGTTTTGGCTGTCATGGTCCAAATGCAGTGTTCAAGCATGGACCTTCTGGTCCACGGTTCAAGCCTCAAGTTCTTGGGTAGGATTTGCCGCCCACAGCACAGAAGGGGTTTAGTTACTATAATAAAGCACAAAAAAGTAGTACATTTTCTTTTATCTGGGTTGAAAATGTTTTATAATATGTTTCTGTTACTGCCTCTCTGCATTCAACAGATACCGGTACCTCTAAAATTCAGACTATTACTAAATGGATTGCAATCAATAAAGTTGAATCAACAACTAATGGTCGTTATTTTCCCATCTAAAGCTATTTTCAAGCCCTTTCGTTTTGAGGGAAGTTCTAAATCAGAATTATCTTTCAAATGCCCTTGGAATTTAACCTTTTCATTTTTTGGGGCCTGCAAATGGGACAAAGTACCTTTAATGTGGTCTTTACTCAGGCACCCCATAGGAAACCGTTGATAGAACATTTCAGAAAATTATCCTTGAGGGACGTTTAGGAAAATTAAGCATTAAGGTTAATGGTCTTGAAGTACCAAGATCAAATGTAAATTGGTCTTTAAGAGTACAGTAACAACCTTATACTCTGTTTCAAGTTTTATAATTTTTTTAATTTAGTTGAAAGAGAAGATTATTACTTATTAGTGCAGCAATTGACTATCAGGCTACTGATTAGGGTTGAAAGATTGGTAGCGTAATATTCCGTTTATAGAGAGTGCTGAAAAGCAGAGTGAAAACTTTTCTTGAATTTGTTGTTTGACTAGTTCCCATGGTTTGTTTGGAGTTGGTTCCACTAAGTATGAAACCTTGTTATCAAAGATGGAAAGTACAGTCATACCTGTCTATAGCGACCGCCCAAAGGAAACACAGAAAGTGGTCTTTGTAGACAGGTTCCTATAGTACACGTTTCAATGAGAAACCATTTTCAAGGGAAACAAAAAATGTGGTCTTTGTAGTCAGGAGGTCTTTGTAGGTCACTAAAACAGGTCTGACTGTACGATAAAAAGGTCTCCCTCATGTGAAGTCTGAAGATACAGGTTCAGGGGCCTCTTGCATACAACACATTGCATCTAAGCACAACTAGAATATTAAACTAAACTTGATTTTCAACCAATAAATCGCATGTTCAGGACTTGCGCTTAATAAGTTTTTAGTAACTTTTTAACTCAACTTTGTTTTATGCAAAAGGAGGGCACAGGTTCACGTTTGGTAATATGTAGTTTGATTCGTGCATATGACGCACCATGGAAGAAAATGGAGACAAGTATTCTACCGCCTCCAGAACAACGCTTTCATGTTTTCGATCCGATCTATCTCTACCTGATGAATAAAACAATTTCCTCCAAGAATAAGCCTTCTTCGGGGCATGGGAATCCTCCATATCCAACCATTATCCACACCTTTCAGACTTACCGTCTGTAAGACCAATGTTCTAGAATAACTAAAATGCGCAGGAGAAGTAGGGGACCAGGCAAGGCGCTACTTTCAAAGTTTTCAAGAGAAAGTGGAACTGTTAAACGTGTGCGCAAATCTTTACTAAACTTCTTGAAAATGTGCATTCGAAGTTTGAAGGAAAGGGATTCTTGTTCTACGAGGCGTTAGATAGTTTACTTTCTTATATCATTTCAAGGGTATGCACTAGTTGGACCCTGCACAAAACAAAGTAGATCTATGGAATTACCAGCAAAATTTTGCACCAGTTGTTCCTTTTATTGGTCATCTTTCAATTCACTGTATTGATTACGCCTCATATTACAGTGTGAGATATGCTGAACAGCCAACAACAAAAAAAAATTAAAAAAAGATAAATGTAAATGTTATATCTATAAATGTATCAACGTATTAATGCAGTAATGGGGGAGGGGGTAGCAGTTTGCATATAGTCTTTACTAGCTCTACATTTAAATCCCCTCATAAAAGAACAACTCTGAATAGATGATGATACAGATAATGAAGAAAAAAATCATGAAAAGAAAAACAAATCTCATTCGTAGAGAGTCAATGATTCCCAGGGCTAACGACCCTCTTATAAAACTCCCCCAAATTTAATCAAACCTATTCCATTACAACTTACAAGGTATAACTAGACCGCTCATCTTTCACATCATCATGATCACCGCCCTCTTACAAATTAAAAGTTAATGTGGAGCCGTGCTTGCCCTCATAATCCAGATAAATTCTAGCCTTCCTTTATTCCAACGAATAATGGATCACGGGCAAGCCTTTTTTCTTCCTCCTCCCCACACCCCTCCGTAGAATTAGAGGAGTCGGAGTCAAAGATTGATTTCAATTTCTCATTGTGTCGCCCAAGCGGGGACATTGCTCTAAGAAATTGGCGCTCCTTTGAGCTATGTTATCCGGTGAATGAGGCAATTATGTTGAGGGATTATCCCCCTGATGACTGGGGATTGTCCTGTGGATAAAGGATCTATTGTGCGAACTACAAAGGGATAGACCTTCCAGATACCCCTATCACTTCTGAAGGGAGGGTGTACGTGCATACTGCCTGGATTTTGAAGGAGGGTATATGGTTAGAGAGCATAAATTAGATATCTTGGATTGTAATTTTCCTTATTCCGCATTGAAGATGTAAATACCAAGTTACACGAGAGGCAAATTGTAAAATGCTTTGCAACTGCACGAAGAAGACACAAAATGAATCTTCCTTTAGAATGAATTTTTGACTGGGAAATGATGAAAATGAATAGACGATCATCAAAAAATAAAATATTTTCCAATGGTTTTGTCCTGGTAATGAGGATTACTACCAAACCAAAGAGCACTACATGTAGGGCATCGACTTGGTTTTGAACCTAGGACCTCCCGGTTACGAGGCCAATGAGCCATCGCCCATATTGCACCTCCTCATGGCTTTTGTATCAGATTTGATGGACTAGACCAAGATAAAATGACCAAGATTTTTGTAGAAGCTTTTATCTCACGTGAAACACAATCTCTATTCCCTTTGGACATTCTTACTCTTGCAACAAAACTAGAACGAATGAAGGAGCAATGGCAGCAGATACGCCATGGGAATATGTATGGGAATACAATCTTCCAGGCATCTTAACAAAAAAACTTGAAGAAGAAGAAAGAGAGAAGTTATGTAGCATATGTTGGATGATCTGCTATGAAGATCAAGGGTAAAGTGAGCTGGCTAGGAGAGACTTGTTGAACTCCTGTTCTATAGGTGTCTATCACAGACATCCTCAAGACTGTTACATCAATTGACCTATTGCCATAGGATGATTGGAGGGAGGAAGGTTGAACAGAGAAGAGGGATAGAAGGAAGAAAAGCTGCATGTACATGTACATACAGATCAAAGTGGAGAGAGAGAGAGAGAGAGAGAGAGAGAGAGAGAGAGGGGGGGAGAGAGAGAGAGATGGGCAACAGAGAGGCATGAAGAGATAGAGAGTGATACAATGAGGCTTTGAAAGACAGAGTTACATAAAGAAAGGAAGAAATAGGCAAAGATACATGTAGATACAGAGATGGAGAGAGAGAAAGAGAGAGAATAAAGCGAGAGATTAAGAAATGAAAAGAAAGCTCCTTAATTTGATGTACGAAGCAAGTAATGATGTTATATTAAATTCACAAAGAAAGGAAGACCTTCTAGGGAGAGACAGACATTCATTCAAAACAGACATGTACGCAAAAAGATCTGCATTAATCATACAGTAATAAAATTAGCAAAAGTCAGACAGAAATAATTAGAGGGATGAAAATTTATTAGAGGATTAAACAAACAAATCGACAATAAGGAGATCAGACAGAGAGACAGGGAGGCCGAGAGAATGAGAGGCGGAGAGAAAGAGGGAGGGGGAGAGAAAGAGGGAGAGGGAGAAAAAGAGAGAGAGGGGGGAGAGAGAGAGGGAGAGAAAGAGAGAGGGAGATAGAAAGAAAGAGGAACAGAGAAAATAGGGATAGAAAGAGAGAGAGAGGGAGAGAAAAAGAGAGAGAAAGAGATAGAAAGAGAAAGACAGATGGAGGGAGAGAGAGTGCCAGAAAAAGCCAGAGAAAGAAAGGCGGCACTTGAAAGGTACACCAATGTACCCATTTTTCACCAAAGCATTCTACCAGGCTCTCTATACAGAGTGCGCTTGTTATGCCCTTCTCCTCTCTCTCTCTCTCGGGCCAACATCAAAGGAAGAGACCGCCAAACTCCGGTCTGATCTACTTTGTCAGTAACTGGATTTGTAAGCTATTTATCTTCAATGCAAACACGTTTTCCCTTTTTCTGCACTAGAAAACATGCACTTAATCTGCATAATTGTTCGGTCCCTTTGTGATGGTTGTTAGTTTCTGGAATGCGCATTGTCAAAATTCAAGTCTAATCAGCTTATAATGCTTTACACCACCATCACCGTGAATGAATGGGCCACGTGAAGGATGAGACTCAGACAGATACCATCACATTCTAAGAAGAAAGTAAAGTGGAATAAATATAAATGATAATTCAAGATGGACCTTACAGTTGGGTGGTGAATTTTTTCTCTTTAGGTATCACAAGAAAAGTTATTAAACTGCTTATAAAAGTCAAAGATTATACATTTACCCATAATAGTATAACATTCTACAGGTGTATGAGACATTACACAGCCTCTTTTTATTTGTTTTATAACGTAAACTTATATTTAATTGCAAGTATCTTATGATTAGTATACATTAGGACAGTATTAAATGTCAGAAATATTCCTAATACCCAAAGCAAAATAATTACTGTACCATTTCTTGTATTTGGTGACAATCTTTTCGATACCATTGTACTTTTAATTTTACATTATTCATTTGAACTTTAACCCCTGGGAACTATCCCATCCATACTAGATGCTAATTTTCAGATTTTTTTTTAATGGGTTATTTGAATCCTTCACATAACCCCCCCCCCCCCCTCCCCCCAACTCCCCCTTTCTTAGCACTTTGTATCCTTTTGCTTCCACCTCCTCCCCTACTCCCCCTAATCTACCCACTTCTCCACCCCTCCTCTACCCTCTCCCCACCCCCTTCTCTACCCTCTCCCCACCCCCTTCTCTACCCCCCTCCCCCACACACCCCCTCCTTATACCCACCCCCACCCCAATCAGCCCCTCATTCTAAGTTGATTAAAAGAGTTTCTGAACATAACAATGTCCAGAGGTCATACCATAGAATATCTTGTAAGTCAACACAATAATTAGCTACATATAATGGACTGGACATTCAACTATTGATGGGTCTTTGATGGGGGAGGTTTCTCGGAAATTTCCACATGAGAAAACCACATGAATTCAATCCTATTCTGCACAATGTCGCCAATCAAGCTTGCTGCCTTTGTTATTAAATGAAATGATCAAGCGTAACCATGCGTGTATAATATTGAACATCAGATACGGAATGTCATTCTTGAATGATTACTTTCAATGGGCAAGTATTGAATCCAATGACCAAGGTAATAGTTTATATGTAAAGCCCTGAGAGACATTGTATTACGGTAAGCGCTATATAAAAGCGGAATATTATTATTTATAATTAATGTGCATGAGCCTGTATGCATATTACATGAAACTAGCTATGGTCATGTGATGACTGAAATATCATTGGTTCATTTGACCCCAATAGACAAGCTTTGAAGTCAAACAGTGCCCATTTCCGAATCATTGTGATACTTTAAAACAACACTTCTTCATATTAATACATAATAAGAAATAAATTTTAACAAATTAAATAGGAAATGCTGATGCTCATTGGATAATGCCCAAATGAGTTTCTTTAAATGTAACTTGAGTTTATCATTGTTATACCTTTATACAAGGAAACAAAGAGCCTTCCATACAATAACTTTCAGAATGATTGTATCATCATTTTGATAATATGTATTTATTTTAGGAAATGTTTACTTTTCTGCATAAGATTCCGTCATGAACGATTTATGGCAAATTTCTTAAGTGTAATTTCTGCTATCCTGACTGTTTTTGTTTTCAGACTTTTTCCAGGAGCTTTTCAGGGTTAATTGCTGTCTGTACTCCAGTGTCTATAGCGAAGATTTATTTTACGTAAAGTCCAACGTATTTGGTCATTTGATGTCCCACAAATTACCAATACTGAAAATTTTAAAAAGTTATAATCGGAAGTGTCATTTTCCTTGTTGGGTAGGTCTGACAGAAACTCTGTTATAGCAGTCAACTTGATAAAATCAGTGGGTATATATTATATACTAAGAATGATGACTATCAGAAATATATGGGACAAAGTAATGTAATACCAGAAAATTTTGTGCACTTGAAATGTTCATGAATATTGCGAGTGGTTCGGGTTGGCAAAAGTTTTGATGCTGTGAAAGGAGTTGATCTTGACACAAAAACTGAAATTTTGCAATTCACAAGTTTAAAATTCACAATTTTCTTTCCGAGAAAATCACTCTCATTAACAAATCATGAAAGAGTCACGTCACAAAAATGTCTAGCTCTATACAGTATCTTGAGCTGGAGTCGGGCTAACTCGGACACGTTACGAATACGGGGCCGAGTTGTACCGGCATGATTGAATTTTGAATGAAATATCTTAGGGTTAGGGTTAGGTTTTAGGGTTAGGATAGGGTTTAGCGTTAGGATTAGGGTTACAGTTAGGGTATGCTGGGACAACTCGGCCCGTATTTGCAGCGGGCCGAGTTGTCCCAGCATACCCTAACTTTGACCATCTACTGACCTTGTCATACACAGAGAGGCATGGATGAGGATCAATGTAGGAAGACTCCAGGTTGACCACTGCAACCGTTCCAAATTCCGTTTCATCGTCATCGTAATCGTTGCACAGGCCTCTGGGATGGAACTGAAAAATATCAAGGGAAAAACATAGTAAATATTAACAAATGATTTGTTTTACTCATTATTGTAATTGCCGCTCAGGTCTCTAGTATGGAATTGATAAGATTAAAAACAGGGAACATTGTAAATATAAATTGTTTAGTCGCTGCGGACTGAAATCCTTAACTGCCACATTGTTTTGTGTGCATTACATTCCATACATATTGATTGTGTGACAAAAGATAACCATGGCAGTCCAAAGTTGTTCCATTAGTTAAAGGTAAAGACCAGTTATGGTCATGCGATTGCATTGTGAAAGAAATGTTGTGGAATCAATCAGAAAAGGTTGATCATCTAGCATCTAGCATCTGCAAGGTTCTGGAATCATCAAAATGATAAGAAATTTGGCCCATTCTTCGTAAAGTTACAAGCACTATACACAGAAATATGTATATGGGACTACCCTATATCTCTCACAGACCATGAGAGAAACAAATTTACCAAATATATGAATTAGTAGGCGGTTTCCCAGCAAAAATTTTATCATCATGTATTAGTCAAAACATATTCTTTCACATGATTGGTAATGAGAGCTTCCATTTCATTTTTTGAAATTGGGGCATTTCCAATACTGGTCTTTACCTTTAAAGAAAGCAGTTAAAGAGCAAGGTACATAAATGTGCCCTGTTTCATAATGTTTTTTTTTATCAATAACAAGTTACAATAACTGTTAAAAGCTACTGAAATACTGCATTTGATTGGTTGAGACTGAGAGCAGATTTGTCATAGAAATTTAGCATTTGTTAATGATAACAAGTATTATAAAAGAGGGCCATGGAATCTAGATGCTTATGAAAAGTGTTCAATACCTTCTCCAATACCTGGATTGCATGATATCTGTGATGACAAAATTCAAAAATGAGTTATAAAGTTGCATGATTTGCAACAGTCAAGTTTTTTGTTTGTTTCAATTCTTGTACAAACAGAATTTTAACACAAATGGAATGCTTGATTTTTGCATTCTTTACAGTTTACTGCATTCATACCTCCCTTTTCTACTGTGTTGACTTAATAAATGGGTGGTTCTTTAACATAGATGTTTATCATCACATTCATGATGAAAGATTTTTTTTAGCTAATTTCTCTGGAGAGTTTGTGTGAAGTAATTTTCTACACGACTAGCCTCAAACCATCACAACCTGTATTGAAAAGATGAATGCCAGAAGAGGACAAATGTCAAGAAACCTAAGAATTGCTGCACGATCTGCATCACAAAACCTACATTTTGAAAGAGAGATAAAGGTATGAAACCTATAAAGTGAGTGTTTTCAGGGTGAGGAGATAGCAGAGACTTAAAGAACATTTGATAGGCATTTTATTCATGTGCAAGAGTTATATAATTCTAAAATTTACAGAAAAAATTGAGGCATATTGCATAACAAAGCAATTGAAATTATTTGTTTGTAGCTTCACATTCACAACCCTCTGAAGATTTCCAAACAATATACTCCTGGGCTTGTGGTAATACTTTTATTTTACACAATATGAAGTATCACCAAATAAGATATCAGAGCTGTATGATATCTCTTTGGTGTTACAAAATGAAGCATCTGAAATTGGAAATCTTATATTTCATCTGTTTGGAGGCAGAATGGTGTTAACTCGGTGTTACAGTATGCAAGTTAATGCCCTTTTGGTTAGAAACATAGGATTTGTCATCTTTCAAACATAACAAATATGCAGATTATTTTAGGCTCAAGGTATAACCTATAGGGTTGGTGGTTACATACTGGGTAAAACTCTTCATACTCTGCAGGTTTTGAATTGAGAAGCTGTGAATGATTCTCAATTAAAACAACAAATGAAAGGAGAGGAGATACTGAAGACTAATACATGGACTGTCTGACTGCTGTGATATAACGTGAACAGTACCTCCGCTAGTTTGACGTACATTGAGTATGTGTGAACAGGGCATGATAAATACAAAGCTGGAGTGATCCATTACCTGTCTAGTCCACTACTCCATCTACTCTGTCTCTATTTATATACAGATATATCTCTCACTCTCTCTAAACCTCCTCTTCTCTCTTCTATTCATTCTATTAATACACCTATTTCTAGCTACCGTAGCTATCTTTCTCTCTCTCTCTCTCTCTCTCTCTCCAACTCCTTTCCCCCACTTATCTCCCTTTTAGGTTGCCCTTGCCCTTCCCACACATTTTCCTTCTTCTTTTTCTCCTGCTTGCTATATTTTTGTCTCTATTTATATCTTTCTCTTCCCCCCTCTTCTCTCCCCTTCTCTCTATCTCTATTCAACTCTCTCTTTTCTTATCCTCTCACTCATTCTATGTCACGCCTTTCCTACATAAACAAAATTTCATCTAGAAAAAACAATTTTCCAATTTTCACTAATATCTCATGAGTAATTTATTCATTGAACTAGCCTAGATTGAACACTGTTTAATTACGACGAAGTGTCAAAATAAGTGGGCCGAAATTGGAACAAGTTGGAGAAACCTCATTTGAAAAGTCACTTCATTTCTAGACAAATCCTTTGAATGAAATAAACAACCTTTTTTTTAACCCTCTCTTTTCCTCTTCACGCCATCTCTCTCTCTCTCTCTATCTCTCTCTCTCTCTCTCTCTCTCTATCTATGTATTCAGTCCTCCACTCCAGCTCTAAACGAGAGAGCCTATATACACCCAGGTCGCCAGCGTTTCATCGTATCCACGAAGTCACAATTGGGACAAAAGCACGCATTCTGAGTTTCCTGCCACCAGCGCACTAATGAAAGGGGGAGCTCTGGCTCGACGTTCGTGCCTGCTCTGTCGGGTTTGTTAGGCAAGAGGCCAATTTCCGTCCAGCGCTCGCTCGCTCTCCCAGCTCCGCAGGTCTCTAAACATCGCTCTCGATCTTTTTCTTTCTTTAGGCTGTAAATCAAAAGGTAAGTATCAATAGAGTATAGAGTATAGAGTAGCTATCACCCCCTGACATTCACTTCCGTAGTACCTAAACCCCATTCAGACTGTTTATTGACTTTAGATGTATATATGAAAAGTTTGCATATATGTGAACATAGCGCAGTTGTTCACTGGTTACAGCATCCAGGCTTAGGTGTAATTTCAACAAGAACTGTCTCCAGAGATTGTATGAAACTTTTCCTGTGACAATTGTTCCATGTCAATTTCGTACCCTAACCCAGAGGTGACAACCTCTTGACACAAAAAACAGACAGAGTATCCTAAACTATCAGATTTTCACGAAAACTCTGAAAATTACGGTCAAGTAATATGCTTGCTCTTTCTTTAAAACTTAATGAGAAAATTGTAAAGCAAAGCTTTTGTTGGGGTTGTGGGGTTTTATTTTTACATGTTTTTATGGGTTTATATGGGTTTAAAAAGATGAAAACTTGTATTTTAAGAGGTGATATCGTATTATTGTATTCCACTCTTATTATCGTACTAAATACCATTTAATCATACTGTTTGGCATCTCTGCTAACCCAATTCTTGACTTGAAGCCTGGATCCAACACTATATCTAATTCTTACCCTAAAATTAAACAAAAACCCAATTGCAACCCCAACCCTAAACCTTTGTTGAAATATACAGCCCAGAGCAACTGTCGCAAGAGCAAATGTCAAGTCACCGTCTCCAGAATGACTCTTGTCTCGTACTTTGGGGACTGAATGTGGTATAGTACAAGAACTTTACATAAGTTTACACAATTCCATGCTTTTCAGAATAACAACTTGCTGAAAACATCAAGTATGCCCTTTCACTTCACTTTAACATTCCCTTTAAAAGCGTTTCTTTATACGATATAACCCATTGTGTGAATGTGCCCTTAAAAGCAACTCCAGGAGATGGAGATAACCTTTGCAGTCATGTTTCTTCCCCCTCCTCTATCTATACAAGCCAAGATATTTGATCAGATAGACCACAGTACGTCACATCCTCCCCAGGTTTAATTAGAAGTGCAAGTATATCTACGTCTCCTTCTCATCCCTAATCCAAAGATACTGATTCATGTTAAACCTTTATAACTGCCACCTGAAGGTCAGACGGGCGTAAGATAAATAGGAGAAAGATTGATATGGAAATGTCAAAAGCAGTGACTTGAAATGTACAGAAATGAAAGAAAAACATAAAGACATGTGGTATGAATTTAGATTTTCTTTCGACTGATTCAAGGCTTCGAGGTACATGTGTAGTCTACAATGTTGGTGGATGTCTACACAGAAAAATATCAGTTTTTGAAAGGTGGAATCCAGAACACGAAAATTGCTTGTGAAATACTGATTTGAATAAAAAAAAAAATAATGATGCAATTGTACATAATATGGGTTATTAGTTGTTGTATTTTCATGAGCCAGGCTTATATTCACAAAAGAAAACAACTGATTATCTCAGCGTGTTCAAGTTATTTATATAAAAAAAGTAGTGATTACTGTACACTAGATATCACTTGTATCTAAATGTACATGCAAATCTGTTTTATAGCAAAAGTAAGTTTCTTACTCTGAATAATTACATCCCAGCTCATTTCCAATTCTTTCTTTTCCCCTCTTTTTTCTGAAAGACAGGAATTGTCGCCATTGTAATTTAATTTTGATTCATAGAAATTGCTGATAAATTGGGTAATCATATGCCCCTATCTTCCTAGAGGTTTCTTTTTAAACCGACTTAAATATTTGCATGATTTGTAGATCTCTCTCTTTCTCTCTTAGAAATCCTCCTCTTTCTTCCCCTGTTTATTCTCCTTTACCCATCCCCTTGGGTGTAACTCAACAGCCTTGAACATGCCCCTCCGCTCGAATTAGATACATCTGCTTGTTAGTCGCCATGGTAACGCTGATGGAGTATTTCAGAGACCCGTTTCACTCCCTCTTGTTTCTTTCGTTTGTCGGTTTCGAATCCTTGACCAAGGGGGACTAGATTCCTCCAGCACCGACGACGACGGCGGCTTAGCACATCTGACTGAGACAATTGGCTAATTCAATTTTGGACCGATAAAACCAACTTT